CTCTTCATCGGCGGCGGATATTATTCTGTTTTGTCGGTCCTACCAGTCTTTAATACGACGACTTCTCGAATGTCTACTACAACAAGTTTTGTCCGGCTCCAGCGAGGGAGGGGCGATCGCGGCGGCGCCCCTTCAGCTCGCTTCAGTGCTTTTAGTCGTTGCTAGATGGTCCACGGATATGAATGCAGTTTATTTCTGGTGTTCGTTGTATCGCCATGATTGAATATGAACCCATCGAAAGTTTTTATATTTTTTAGAAAACATATGCCCTGTATAAAAATGCATCCGAAATTTCACCCGATGACCCCGACACTATGAACGTAAGATGGCCCCCCGATCACCTCACACCGCCACGTCGCCGGGCACCCCGCCCACGCCAAGCGTCGAGCGCGCGCGCCAACACAAAAACCCCGTGGCGACGCGACGCACCCACCACCCACCACACGCTGTTCCCAAAAACCCTCCTGCCCCGTCCGGTCAGCCCTTAACCCCGGTTGCCTCCTTTTACCAAACCAGTGAAAGCGCCCTACGGCCGACCTAACCGCGGTCAAGCCCGTCCCTTCCCAAAGCAGCATGTGGTGTGGTTGCCGGTCAGAGCCAGTGCCCCACTGCCGCTTCCGCATAGGCAGGGCTCACCTGCTCGGCGTCCGTTCTCCTTCCCATTAGTAGAAACCCACGGCTGGCTCGAGGGAAGGAAGGTACGATCAAAAGCGGAACCGCGGCTGGCTCGCTCGCCTGGCCATGGTCACCATGACGACGACCAAGAAGCAGCCCTGCCGTGGCGCCGCCCCGCTCTCCCCTGCCTCCTCCTCCTCGGCGTCCTCCTGGCCCTGGGGCTCCCGCATTGCGCCGTCCAGCGCGCGGACTCTCGGGAGGAAGAAGAAGAAGAGGGGCCGGAGCGACGCCGTGGTTGTCCCGTCGAGGAGGTCGTCCATCTACAAGGGCGTCACCAGGTGAGCCAGGAGCTCTCTCTTCCCTTCCTGCTTGCGTCCGACGCGCCGCAGTCTGTGTCCTCCTTTCTGATTGATCTCCGACGGGCGTGCGCTCTTTGATGTAGGCACAGCATCTCGGGGAGGTACGAGGCGCACCTGTGGGACAGGCATTGCCGGAGCACGGCCCAGGGCAGGAGAGGCAAACAGGGTGAGACAATCTTGTCTCTGTTTTCCTTGATTTATTCTTGACCACTCTCTAGTTTTATCTTTCATGTGCTGACATTCTTCTTCTCTAACTATGTTTGGAATCAATCTTGTGTTCGTCTGCCTCGACATTGGCGAACGGCGAAACGCATCCATGACTCGCCTCCATTAGTTTATTTGGGTGAGTTCAAGATCCTCTCGCTTCTTGGAAAAGCCCGCGTACTTTCCAATGCCCATGATTCACAAATTATTCTGTATGCTGCCAAAGTCCAGATTGCATTGCCCACGGTAGCCTCCCTCAGATTAATTTTCGAATTTCGAATTCTGCAACCACTTTCTCCTTTGTTTGAGCCTTTGTCTGAGGGGAAAGCAGGGTAAAAAGAAAAACAGCAGCGCCTTGGTAAAGTGGAAAGCTCGTTTTATATTTTTGTCCCCATGCATGGGTCCAAAACATATGCACAAAAGCATCAGGCACTGTGGCACTACCGCTGCGTATACATTGATTAAGATTAAGATCATCCTAAGTAATCTTGTGTTTCTTGGCAGGATGTTACAAGACAGAGGAGGAAGCAGCTCGCACCCATGATCTCGCGGCGCTCAAGTGCTGGGGCTCAGACTGCGGGCTCCTCAACTTCCCAGTAAGTTCAGAGACACTCCTACCTGTCTTGAGTCTTGACTTGTCTCAGTGCAACCGCTACTACTTCTCGGACTGCTGATTTTATTCAGAGTGGAACTTAATAAGATTAGGCTGTGATAAATGCAGGTGGACACGTACAGGCAGGAGCGCGAGAGGATGCAGCGGATGACACGGGAAGAGGAGCGCTGCTACGTGAACGACAGCCTGCAGCCGATTTACGGACGACATGCTACGGCAACCATTGGATGCAACTGGCCAGCACTGCTACACTGTTCGATTTGAGTGTCGTGCGCATATCGTCCACGAAACATCGTGTGTATGGCAGTTTCGCGGGAAGGAGCGCTGCTACGTGAACGACAGCCTGCAGCCGATTTACGGACGACATGCTACGGCAACCATTGGATGCAACTGGCCAGCACTGCTACACTGTTCGATTTGAGTGTCGTGCGCATATCGTCCACGAAACATCGTGTGTATGGCAGTTTCGCGGGAAGAGTACCTGGCCAGGCTGAGGCGCAACAGCAGTGGCTTCACAAGAGGCGTCTCCAAGTACAGGGGAGTTACAAGGTACTACGCACCTCGAGCTAATGAGCACTGTGTGTCTGCGGTGAAGTTTCAGGACAGTGCGTGCAATTTGACTGCATTGTTAGTACTGCCTCCATCCCATAATATAAGAACGTTTTTGACAACGTTTTTGACACTACATGTGTAGTGTCAAAAACGTTCTTATATTATGAGATTATATTATGGACAGAGGGAGTAGTAAGCATTTCCATTGATCTAACAACTTATTGGCGCCAACTGTGGCACCGCAGGCATCACGCGAACGGCCGGTGGGAGGCGAGGATTGGTCACGCTGCCGGCACGCAGTACTCCTACTTGGGAATATTCGGTGTGTCCTTGAACTAGTAGTAAATTTACCAATTTGTGTGGATAAATCTCAAGAAACAGCCATCTCAATTTGCTACAGCCACCGTCAGAACAATAAAAAAAAAATGAAACTCCATGGGCACTAGCACCCACGGTTTTATTGATATAGAAGAAGCATCCCTCATGAGAATTCCAGAAATTCGTCCCCGACGTGGATCGAACTCTGGTCGTTAGGTTTACAATCATGCGCCCCCAACCACTGGGCTATGCCCACGTCCTCACCACCGTCAGAACGATAATCTTCCATGTGACTGTGATTTGTGTGAGATGATTAACCTCCATTTCATGCTTCTAATACGCTTTGACATCGTTACCGTAGGCTCCACATAGTGCAGTTCTTTTGCTTTTTCTCTTCTCCGGGAAAGAGAGGAGACACGGAGTGTGGGTTTCTGAAAGGTCTGTTGTGCTTGGCATTTTCTCTCCAGATACCCAGGAGGAGGCAGCCAGGGCCTACGACCTCGCCGCGATACGAATCCGTGGCCCCGGCGCCGTCACCAACTTCGACGCCGACTGCTACGTGGACATCCCGCAGCCGCTCCCCTGCAAGGCCGAGCCGGACACGGAGCCGGCCGCGGCTCGTCCATGCTCGCTGCCGCCGGCGCCACTGCCGCTGTTGCCGCCCAAGGTCGAGCCCAAGGACGAGCCCGAGGACGACTTCGAGTTCGAGCGCGAGCCGCCGCCCGCCCCGGCGCTCCGCGACGACGCCGACCGCGTGGACCGCGCCATCGCCGAGGTCCTGCAGGCGCTCTGCGTGGACCGCGCCGACTTCGGGGCAAGGTACCCGCCCCGCCGCGCGCGCGTCGCCGCCCCCGGCGCAGGGTGGCCAACGCCGTTGGACTCGGACGAGTTGCCCGACCTGCCGGTGCCGGGCGACGTGGGCTTCTTCGAGGACGACATCGAGAGCGTGCTCTTCGCCGCGCCCGGCGACGCCGAAGTACCGCGCGCCGCCACGATCAGCTCGCTGTCGTCTGGCCGCTGGTGGTGACTCACGGACGTGGCCCATGTTGGTGGTGCCGGTGCGTTGCACGTTCCGGTCGTGTAAGTACATGTCCATGGACCATGGACCATGGCTCGGGCTTGTAGTAGGCACTAGTCGTAACTCGTAAGGTGGAGTGTAAGCTTCTTTTTGGGGGTTGTACATATCTCTGGCCAAGGAGCATGCAATGCGGTTGATTTTGGCGACCAAATTAGTGTCAAAGTGGAAGGGACGCTCGTACGTGACCGCTAGCCGGTTCCTTGTGACACGTGAAAGCGGGAGAAGTGGAGAAGTGGAGAAGGCTCGAGCTTTTGATGTAAATTTTCGGTATTTGCACCCTATCGGCCAACGATGTAGTCCTATTGCTGGCTCGGTCATGTTGCTTTGACAGGAGTCTGTGTGGTATCATAAGTTATATAACACTGCGAAAATTGCTTTTGGAGGCCGAGCTCCATGAAGGCCTTCATTCACATTTTTCAAAATTCATATTTCTATGTTTCAAAAAAATTATGAAAAAATAAACATATACAGAGTGAAATACCCTGAAATGAGGGCTTTGAAAAAAAACAAATTTGAGGCTTTTGAACACATGATACCATTCATTCTCAAAGTCCATAAATTTGTCTTTTTTGCATAGGTCGCATTTTTAGCCATGCTTAAAGCACGTAAAGAAAACATTATCTGCTTCTCACTGAAACAAAACAGGTAAGACACATGGCAATGCTCAGTTCCAGCACAATGTTCTTTTGAAAGATCCAGCAAGACGAGGGCTTTAACATTGATAGGTGGATAATACATGCTCGGATGCACAAGGCATTGAGTAAGGAGAGAAATAATAGAGAAAGGAAAAACAAGAACACACCTCCCTACATACCTAGGTCGATACTCTCAGGGTGGATCCCAAAGGGGTGCTGCAAGCATTTAGCTCCGGCTAAACGGTAAACGCCAAGACTCTAATGATCTTCTGATGGAGGTGATGACATCGTTTAGGTTGTTGATCTTCCCCTGAAACAGTCTTCTGTTACGCTCCAACCAATCTCCCATACAGTCAGGATGTGCGGCACCAGGGTCGATGTGACGATCGCATCCCAGACTTGTTGCACTACACACAGTGGCCCTAGATTGTGGATTCAGAGTTTCACAACCTGCCCAGCGTTCTACCCAACGCCAAATCGCCTTAGTAATCGGACATTGCCAAAATAGGTACATCGATGATGCATATGCAAGTAGAGATAGTAAGTAGACATCCATCTAGTGCCAAGTAGATATGTACTCAAGATCAAATAATGAAACAAAAATTCGAATTTGAAACAAGACAACTTCATGGCATAGCCGACCAAGTCACCTTTAGCGAGATAGAGGCATGCTCAAGCAGTATTTGTCGACGTGCATATCCATGGAGGTTTGCTTTGAAGCGACAATGATGTTCCAAATCATCGTATTTTGAACCTTCCCGGCCTACCATGAGCTTCAAGTGCATCCAACTATCCATCTCTACGGCAATCACATATCTTCTTGTTATGACACATGACTCACCAATAATATCACGCAGGAGCTCGATTCCTTGATATGACCCACCTACAAGCACATACGAACCGAGAGATAAATTGAATCCACTCCGCACTTCTGATACAATAACATCTATTGTGGCCTCCACTGCATTGACGACGTGTGCTAAAGTGATGTCAACTGCACCACAATCGCCATTAATCTGACTCGTGAATGGATGAGAAGGTGTGGTTACTTCGCAGAAGTCTGTTGCACCATCAATTAATTGTAGATCATATTCTTCTTGCTCCCCTTCCTTGATCCTCATGTCATACTCAACTAGAACAGGGCTGGTCATTGTGATGCCTCTCTTAGGGCCAGTCATCTCAATGAGAGAACCCTGCAAAACTATCATTAGTTGCTAGTAGCTCATCATCAAAAGTACACATGTTTCTAACCAATTGAGGAAGAATCACAAACAAATGATAACATAGATTCTAAACTCGCCTACAAACATAAGTTGGTTGCACATAAAACTTAATGTTAGATAAATCATGCGAAGACAACTAACAATAAACTTGCCTAATATTTGCAAAGATAACACCCTCTTTGTATAACATCGTCCAAGGCACATGTATTTCTATGCAATAATCCATACTGATAAAATAACATTTCACTTAAAGTGGAGCCATCATTACCAACACCTCAAATGTTGCGTCAAGATAACATTTCACTTATTGCAACAATGAAGCATAAAGGAATTTGCAGTTCAAGGGCTACGATATTCGTTGTGCTCAGATCCATGTGACGGAATTAAGCTTACACTGCCAAATGAAATGTATTTAAAATAACTGCATCTAGATAAAGATGCGCACCTGTCGCACCATAAGGGGATTGTCCCTGCTACGATTGACAATATAATTAAGCGATAAATCCAAATAATCCCGTGCTGCTATATATCCATACAATTGTACCGAACTTGCGTTCATAGGAACTTTAGCCAATTTTAATGAGAAAAATTGCATCATGTCACATTCAAAATGCACACGACACCTTTTCTGTTCAGGAAAGCAATTAGCAGGGTCTGATATCCGCATTGGCTCCAATTGTGCTTCAGTCAAAAACTACATAATATTAGAGAAATGCTTATCATAAATAGTATAGTGATGATTTACAACTACCTACTTGTGTTAAGTTATAGTAAAATTTATCTAATAACAATATTCATTTAAGAAGATAACAGGATAAATACACTAGTCAAATAAGTGAGGAGAATAAAACAATGCTCCAAGGAAAAGTATAACTTTCGGGGGCCAAGTTATATGAACAGTTTACTAAGATCCAAGCTACACAAACACATGGTAGAATTTTCATTTTATGCATGACAAAATGTTCTAAAAAATATTGAACTTACGTGTACCTAATAGAACTTTCCAAATCTATTCATAATCCACATATCACAATTTCCTAATATATATTTACAATTGTATGTACTCACAGGTTATGCGAACTTATTCATGTGATTTCCAAAAATAGATCATATTGCTAAGACCAAATAAAATAATCTATAAAATAAATAAATAAACAAAGATTAATTTGGCCTAACTCTAACATTTACTGAAGATCAAGATGGTTATAATACCAACAATGGTAATTGCACTTATATTATCTACAGTGTCAACCATAAGTTTTATTACATCATGCTAAGTTCGAGCTAGGCGATGATTTTTTTTCTTTACAGAAGATAGCACGAGCTCTCATTCTTTTACCATGAATCATGCGAAAAATATAAAGTAGACATATACTCCCTCTATTCTTACCCCACCTATTAGTTTTGTCCTAAGTCAAACTTTATAGATTTTTACCAAGTTCATAGAAAACAGTGTGAACATTTATAATAAAAAGATGTGATGTATTCAAAGATTAATCTAGTGGTATTGTAGATGTCGATAACTTTTTCTATGAACTTGTCTAAGTTCATAGAGATTGTAGTTCAAACAAAGGTAATACACAGAGCAAATAAAAACGGAGGAAGTACTATTTACATGAGACATATTCACCCATGTGATTTAAAAAAACAATAATTGCTAAGATAAAATATAATACTCAATAAAAATAAATAGAAAATTGTGAATTTGCCGCAACTCCAACATTTGTTGAAAACCAGTACAGTTATAATACAGCATTAGTTATTAGACATAGCTATATTACTACATATACACTAATTATTACATTCGCCTTCCTAGTCAAGATTGTTCCCTAATATAAAAAGTATTTGTATAGGTTACCTGAGTGTACGTAAGTAGGAGTCTGAATCCTAAATGAGTTCCAAGTCAAGTCACGTGTTAGGATTTCCTCTATTTGAAATGGCAGCCACGATTGGTTTCGAGACAATCAATAAAGAAGTTATAGTTCCTAGTCTCTTGTTGTCTCCTCTACCCTGTTATCTCCCTCAGAGTTGATTGCACGACACCCGACAACTAGCGACTCATCGTCGAAAAGCACCCCTTGGGCATGGCATCAACCTTCAATCTAAGAATCATAACAGCTTGGTATCAAATTCAATGGCCGACTGTTGGCTCGGCTGAGGATGCTTCTCAAGCAGGAGGCGGTAACACCTACACAAATTATGGCAGAATATTGGATCATGTAGTAGCAGTCGCTCTGCGAGATCATCACACCGCACTCCACCGTGGAGGCTTGACCACCACACCCTATCCGGTGATTCAAGCACACCCGGCTTGTTGGGTTCACTGCCCTCTAGCAGCAACCCGATGACTCCCTCCACCACCGTTGCAGCATCCACGACCAACATACGCTCATATCATCTACCATGTCTCAACTAGCATACCTACAGTCCACCACGTTCCACACCACTACTCCAATCTATGCTCCAATCCACCGACAAACATTAAATACCGTGCCACTGCCTACGCCACTGCCACCAATCGCATCAACCCAGCTTTTCCATACCCGCCTAGTCCACCATCATACAAGCACCCTCTCCACTAGCAGCCACCACCATAATTAAACTAGCCTCCAAACCATCTTTGTTCTCCATTGAATCAAGGTGGTTATAATGCTAACAATAATGACTAGCAATAGAACCGGAAATTCACTTTGGCACATAGGAGCATATGCTCCTGCCATCAAAAAATATATTTCAAAAAGTCGAAAAATTCCGAACACAAATTTGACATGCACATCTCATCATTGTATGTGCGCACACCAAGTTTCGTGAAAAACTGGCATTTTATACGCCTTGTGTAAAAGACAAAAAAAAATCTCATGAAAAGCCCTTTTTAACACTAAATTTTATCCTTTTTGCATGTGACACAAACGTTGTCGGTTTTTCACGAAACGAGTTTGTATGCACATAGAATGTTGAGATGTACGCGAGAATCATTTTTTCAGAATTTTGTGACATTTTAAAATATGTTTAAAACACATTTTAAAATCCAGGAGCATATGCTTCCATGTGCCAAAACGCCACTCTCAGAACTTATTAGCAATTAGAACTCACACGCGGATCTGATCATTAACCATTCACTCGTTTATGTAATAGAGATAATCAACCAAAAAGAGTACGGATTTATTGATAAATTAAAAAGATGTTTATCAAAATAACACTAACAGGTAAATATGAAGCTAAACATATTATATTTACATGAGACATTTTAAGTCATTTGATTAACTATGAATTATAAACAATAATTAATAATACAAAATATAGTAGTCTGGCGAACTATATAAAGTTTTATGAATTTGCCCCAAGATGAAAATTAATTGAAAATCAAGATGGTTATGATGATAACACTAAGTATTACGTACACAACTAAGCATATTTGATTTAGCTAGTCCTTTTTCTTATGATATTAGCAATTAATGCTCTCACACAAAAATGTTATAATTGACCATGCATCTTTTATTTGAAATTGTTAATATTTTTTGCTTTATGTGACAAAATATAATACTGTATAAAAATATCACATATACGTCTAAACATATTCCTCTATTGACAGCCTTTTCCCCTTTACGATGTTAGCAAGTGGCGCTCAAACAAAATCTTATCACTGATCATTCATCCTTTATGTGATTGAGCTAATCTACTAACTTACATAAAAATACTGGAATTCCAGGAAAACAATATAATAACTAAATACTTGGACTTCTACTCTGATAGCAACTCAATATTAATAGTTTAACACCCATCACATGGACATAATTACCAGTCATAGTGATTACTAATTACAGGGAACAAGAGTTGTGTCCAAATTATAATCATGCATTATCAATCACCAGATTTCTACATAGATATTTAAGATATAAATCCTGCATGCAGATCTACCTCCTGCTGAGCAATTTCAGTACAACAATCAAAATATACATTGCACATTTAAAAAAAACAGCATCAAACTTTTAAAGGATAAATAATAGAAATTCTCAAATATGAGCAATACAGGAAAGAGATTTGCATCACTTACTCTCACCACGTTTTTTAACGCAAAATACGTCGAGACACGAGTTTTTGTATATAGACCCATCGTGATGGCTACTATTTGTAAAGATGAAGGCTGATGGCACATTGAGCTTTTTGGTCTCCCTACTCGCTTCTGCTCTATCCTTCCCTTTGGTGATGCCAACTTGTTCGCCCAGAGGATTACCGGAGGTGCAGAAAAATGCATTGCCATACGGGAGCTGGTTGGGCCCAATCGGCTTCATACGGCCATGCACTGCAATATTCCTTGCCATCAGGAAGGATTCGTAAGCAGATCTATCATCAAAGAGCAACATTAGAATCCGATTCAAATAAGATACACACACGCTATCACGCAGGATAGAAATGTAAATATAGTCACCCGTTCTAACTCTAGCTCAACAGAAATATAATTTCCAACTACAAAAAAAATTTATAAATTCCAATTTCCCCCGGCCGGATTAGGGAGGGCGGATGATATAATGAGCAATAAGACTTGGCCGAATACGATTCAAACGCTCAAAATTCAACTTTGGTGTCAGTAGAAATTATATAAACGCACCGGGAGGTACGGTACAGATTCCGCCGTGAGTGGAGCATCTCGTTGCGCAAGTTCGGGAGGGCCCCACCGAGGCAAGGCGGAGCGGGGTTGAGGAGAGATGAACAGATGGTACGGGGGGAGAGGCCGAGAGGCGGCGTGGTTGAGACTTTGGAGATGAATGAACGAGGCGGCGTGGTTGAGACTTTGGAGATGAATGAACGAGGCGGCGTGGTTGAGACCTGGCTACTCAGGGCATGGAAACTGGCGTCCGATCCGAAATCTGCGGTCCAGATCAAGTCATGTTCGGCCCAGCAGATTGCATTGTGATCTTTAGCAGAAAACACCCTTTGTATTCAGTCTTTCTCGTAACCTGTACCAGCCCCAAGCCCCAAAGCTGTCCGGAGCTAACGCAGCCCCATGAGCTAGGTTAGGCCAACTCCGCGGCGCGATCCCATCATGTCCATGCGCATCCGTTTAAGGTAAAACGGACGAACCAGACGGCCCAACGCGGGGAGCAAACAGACTTTTGTCCGTTTTCGACCCATCACTGATCCAAGTTTGCGTCGATTTTGGGGAGAAACGGACATCGCGCGGACGGACAGAACACGCGCTTGTCCTCCCTTGGCCCGCCTGTCGGTGGCACAAAGCAAACCCCCCCTCCCCCAGCGCGCCCCATTTGGCGCCATTTCCCCCCAAACCCTCCCACGTCCCGCTGCCCCCTCCCTCCCCCGTCCATGGCCGACGCCCAGCCGAATTCCGGCGCCCTGGCCGTCAACCCGCCCGGAATGGTCAAGAAGAAGAAGGCCAAGGCACCAAGGAAGCTGCGGTCGGAGTGCATGCCGGAGGAGATCGCCAACTTGGACGCGGAATCGGTGAAGAGGAGGAACCGGAGGGCGGTCGTCAAGGACAATGCCGCTGCGGCCAAGTTCGCCGCTGAGCGCGATGCGATGGAGGCCGCGCGGCGCAAGGCC